CTGATGCTGCTTGGCCTGCTGTGTTCATCCAGCTCTACACCTTGTTACCTACAATGACTATTCTCTTATTAAATTAATTGCTCTTATTAAACTTTTTTCAAGACACAACTAAACACAGCTCAATCCCAAACTTAAATTCTTGAAAGAATGATCAAAATTTAGTATTGATATTAATTCATAAAAATATTTTTTATGACTCCCCTATCAATTGCTTTTACAAAGCCATTAACAAGTTCTAAATGACTATTTTAACAATTTGATTAATGTATTAGTGGAATGTCTTGTGTGTCAGTTAACTAATCATATGTTCATAATCTGATTAGCAGCACAGGGTAAAGAGTTGATCCTGCATTTAACTTACAAATGTACGCACAGAATTTGTTAGTTAACCATCAAAACTCTTAATAAAATTGTTCATATAAATTAAGTAAAACACATATTCCTGACATTTAAGCATTTAAAGAGTGTTTTCTATTTCTAGGGGGTAATGCTAAGACATTGAAATGTATTCTTTGATTCAGCTTCACTCAGAAAAAATCAATGGCTTTGACCAATGAATGAAATGGTTGGATTGTATTTGATTGTTGTTTTTATCATCTATAATACGGTCAGGACTGGGGGCATCGGCTGTAGAAGGTGACATTATATAGATCTTTAATCTGCAACTATCTGACGGTTACAAAGTAATTTGGACACCACCCATGTAAATTTTATCAGTTTGTCCATTATGATAATAAGTTCAGTTTCTTTCAAAGTTAATGGCAAACATTTAACTTGCCTTGAACTCAGTACATATTATAACAGAAACTTCAGATTTTGTCAATACAATCTTGTCAGTTTTTCTTTTTGTTATAAAAGAAAGAAGGAAAAGTAAGAAAGGGCTTGGATTTATATGATGCCTTTAATGATCTCGGAACATGTCTTATGTTCTAAATTCCAAAGCCCACATTTACAATGCAAGTTACCTATGTAAACCTGTCATATTGTAATTACACTCTCCTGCCAGTGGAGGGTGTTGTAGCATCACTATTGGGAAGAGGGTGACATGAAACAGTCCTGGAAGTGGAAGTACTGCAGTATCATCATAGGCTGGTGAGCATCATTACAGTTCATCTGATGTTGAAAACTTCACCCTCGCCTTTTATACCTCTGAACTTGAGTATTCCAATGGCACATCTGACAGCCCACTCATGTAAACTTCAGGCCTTCCGAAACACACATTTTCTTTATGGGGAATTTAACATGGAAATTTATAATGGGGAACAAAGAGATGGCAGACCAATTAAATACATACTTTAGCTCCATCCTAACACCCCAACAATATGGGGGAACACCGCTGAATGTGAAGGAAGATTTGAAAGAAATTAATATAAGTAGGGAAATGTTGGGGAAACTAAAGGGATTAAAGGCAGATAAATCCCTAGGGCCTGATAAGTTTCATCCCAGAGTAATTATGGAAATGGTTCTAGAAATAGCAGATGTGCTAGTGATCATCCTGCAAAATTCTCCAGACTCTGGAATAGATTCTTATGGATTGGAGGGTAGTTAATGTTAACCTCATGAGGAAAGAAGGAAGGCAGAGAGAAAACAGGGAATTATTAACTGGTTAGCTTGACATTGGGAGTGGGAAAAGTGCTGGAGTCCATTAAAAAAGATGTAATAGTGGAGCACTTGAAAGATAGTGACAGGATCAGACAGAATCAGGTTGGGTGTATCCAGGGGGAGTTGTGTTTGATAGATCTGCTGGCGTATTTTGAGGATGTAATTAGTAGAGTGGATAGGGGGTCACTGTAAATTACTTGAATTTTCAGAAGGTTTTCAATGAGGTCCCACCTAAGAGACTAGCATGAAAAAGTAAAGTACATAGAATTGGAGGTCATGTACTGAAATGGATTGAGAACCAGTTGGCAGACGAGAAACAAAGAGTTGGAATAAATGGATCTTTTGCAGTGACTAGGGTGTACTGCAGAGATCAATGCTTGGACCCCAGCTATTCACAATTTGTATTAATGGTTAGATGAGGAAACTACATATCGTATCTCCAAGTTTGCAGATGACGTAAAGCTGGGTGAGAGGGAATGCTGTGAGGAGGATGCAGAGAAGCTGCACTGTGGTTTGGAGAAGTTAAGTAAGTGGACAAATACAGAAGGTTTAGTATGATGTGGACAAAAGTGACATAATCCACTTTGGAAGCAAAAATAGGAAAGCAGATTATCTGAATGGCAATAGACTGGAAAAGGGGGAGGTGCAATAAGACCTGGGTCTCCTTGTACACCAGTCACTGAAGGTACAGGGCAGCATGTGCTGATGAAGGCAAATGATATGCTGGTCTTAATAGAGAGAGGATTCAAATACAGGACTAGGGATGTCTTGATAGGGCCACCTGGAGTACTGTGTGCAGTTTTGGTCTCCTCATCTGAGGAAGGATGTTTTGGCTATGGACGAAGTGTAAAGAAGGTTTACCAGACTCATTCCTGGGATGGCAAGACTGACATACAGAGAAAGACTAGATCAGTTAGAACTACATTGAATAGAGCTGAGAATGAACAGGGATCTCAGAAACCTAACAGGATTAGACAGGGTATATGCAGGAAGATGTTCTTGATGACCAGGGAGTTCCAAATCAGAGGTCGAAGTTTAAGAATAAGGGGCAGGCCTTTAGGCCTGAGGTAAGGAGAAATTTATTCTCCCAGAGAGCAGTAAGCCTATAGAATTCCTTGCAACAGGAATGTGGAGGCCAAAACATTCAAGACTTTCAAGAACGATGTAGATGTGGTTCATAGATTAAAGGAATCAAAGCGTATGGGGAGAAAATGGGAACAAGGGTACTGAGTTGGATGATCAACCATGATCATATTGAATGGTAGAGCAGGCTCAAAGAGCCAAATGGCCTATTCCTGCTCTTATTTTCTATGTTTATATGTTTCTAGCTTAGAGCAAGTCCCATTCACCTATCAATCCTGTGTTGGCCTCAACCCTTCCTAACCCTAAAATCTCCTCCAGCTCTACAACACTCTGAAATATCTATACTTCACCAATTCTGGCCTCCTGACCATCGTTTATTTTAGTTATTCCACCATTAATATCCTCAGGTACCACAGCTCTAAGCTTTAGACCTCTGCAACTCTCTTTGGTCTTTAAAGCATCTTTCAAAAAAACTCTTTAATCAATTTTGTTTTGGTCATCTGACATAATATAGCCTTATCGAACTCACTGTCAAATTCACTGTTAAAAATTCTCCAACAAAATCACGTTGGGACATTTTACTACTTTAAAGGAGTTATATAAATGCAAGTTGTTGTGGGTGCTTTGCATGATTAATTTGAGGAGACCATGATGAAAAGATGCAAAAATAATGGCAGAACGTATAAGTACAAACAAAAAGGGAAATGATTTCTGTCTGTCCTGGTCCAACGATCCCTCTTTCTCAACCTTGCTTCAGCTGAAGATTACAGTTGGTTTGAAGGCATGTGTTCGATGACACTGGAGATCAACTGATTCTTGTATTTACTTTAGCATATTGGTCAGAACAAAAGCTAGTAGTCGTGTCCTAAGGCCCCCTCAGAAGTTGGACCCAATATTTGGCTATTGTACATTGTGGGGAAGACATTACCGGCACTGATTTCACACTTGGTTCCCTGAGGACATGTTGAGAAGAAGACAATTGCTGGCCATGTAATTCAGAGTCCACAAGAGCTTGCATCTGTTTGCTGGATAGGCAAGGGCTTTGCATGACGTTCCCTGGTAGCTGTTGTTGCTTCTGTCCTTGATCTTGATGATCCAGTGCATTAAACCCAAGTGAATTGGGCTGCTGAAGCAACATCTATGATCACATAAAGATAAACCGTATTAAAACCTATCTAGAAATATGCTGCTGCTCTCTGAAATAGACGCAATGGAATTACAAGAAATTCTCTGAAATTGCTCTTTCCCACCACACTGAATGGCTCTCAAATCTTGGGATATTTTATTAATTAGATTTACATCTCTGTTAAGGCTGCCTTTGTGAAGGAAAAGCAACATAATTTCAAATCAGGATGGTGTGTGGTTTGGAAGGGAACCCAGAGCTGATGATGTTCTCAGGTCTCTGTTACCTTTGCCCTTCCACATGGTAAAGGTCACAAGTTTGGAAGGTGCCATTGAAGAAGCTCTGGTGATCTGCTTCAGTACTTCTTGCAGATGGTGTACAGAGGTACATGGAGCACCTTGGGAGGGTGAATGTTTTCACTTCATTGTACATAGGAAAACCAAGTCCACAAGATATGAATTAATAGCAGGAGAGGGCTACTCAGCCCCTACTTCACCATTCAATGGGCAGCACGGAGGCTCCATGATTAGCACTACTGTCTCACAGTGCTAGGGACCCGGTTCGAATCTAACTGACTGTTTCTGTGGAGTTTGCACATTCTCCCCATGTCTGCATGGGTTTCTGCCGGGTGCTCTGGTTTCCCGCCACAATCCAAAGATGTGCATGTTAAGTGGATTGGCCATGCTGAATTGTCCCCTAGCATGCAGGTTAGGTGGATTAAGCATGGTACATGCAGGGTTATGGGGAAAGGGCGGGGGACTGGGTTTGGGTGGGATGCTCTTGGAGGGTCGATGCAGCCTCGATGGGCTGAATATCTTCTTTCTGCATTGTAGCGATTCTATGAAGACCATCTAATTCTATATTCCTGCTTATGGCAAAAGAGCTTGTTCCACCTTACAAAGGAAAACCTTATGTCCAACAGCAGGGCAAAATTAATTGTTGGAAGTTCCAAACCATCCCTACTGATGCAGAAGCACAAGTAAACAACACATACACATATCCATGAGAATGATACCTGGAGATTGGAGTCATGCACAAACTGCAACTGTTCTTTAATGTGATGCAGCTCCTCCTGTTGTGTCTTGATATTTGCCTGCAGGATGCGAGTCCTTTCCTCCAACTGCTCCTTCAGCTGGTGCATTACTCCCAGCTGTGCAGGACACTGGTACATGGGCTGCTGCAGAAACACAGAAATCAGTATAACAGATCTCCAGTAGGAACTTGTGGCATCAATCACAAACAATGAACACTCTTCCACTTGTCTTGCTGTGCTCTCTGAATCATTTCCTTTCAAATGCAAAGGAGAGCTAGGTACCAACCAGTTAGCCTGAAATCATGGCGAGAATTCAACCTATTATCAAACACCAAATTCATTCACAGGATATGAATTTCCCTGGCTAGGCCAGTATTTATTATCCATCCCTGATTGCCCAGAGAACAGTAAAGAGTCAACTACATTGCTGCGTGTCTCAGGTAATCCAGACCAAGGAACAACAGTAGATTTCCTTCCCTAAAGGACACGAGTGAACCAGATGGAATTTTCCCTAAAAAGCATATCATGGTCATCATTGGACTCTTAATTCTACATTGAAATCAAATGCCACTGTCCACCATAGTGGGAATCAAACCCAGCTCCACCACACCCGGCACTTTTCCCTGCAACCGCAGGAAGTGCTACACCTGCCCCCATACCTCCTCCCTCACCCCCATCCCAGGCCCGAAGAAGACTTTCCACATCAAGCAGATGTTCACCTGCACATCTGCCAATGTGGTATACTGCATCCGCTGTACCCGGTGTGGCTTCCTCTACATCGGGGAAACCAAGCGGAGACTCGGGCACCGCTTTGCAGAACACTTACGCTCGGTTCGCAACAAACAACTGCACCTCCCAGTCGCGAACCATTTCAACTCCCCCTCCCATTCCTCAGACGACATGTCCATCCTGGGCCTCCTGCAGTGCCACAACGATGCCACCCGAAGGTTGCAGGAACAGCAACTCATATTCCGCTTGGGAACCCTGCAGCCCAATGGTATCAATGTGGATTTCACAAGTTTCAAAATCTCCCCTCCCCCCACCGCATCCCAAAACCAGTCCAACTCGTCCCTGCCTCCCTAACCTGTTCTTCCTCCCACCTATCCCCTCCTCCCACCCCAAGCCGCACCTCCATCTCCTACCGACCAACCTCATCCCGCCCCCTTGACCTGTCCGTCCTCCCTGGACTGACCTATCCCCTTCCTAACTCCCTACCTACACTCACCTTTCCTGGCCCCATCCCCGCCTCTTCGACCTGTTTGTTTCCTCTCCACCTATCCTCTCCTCTATCCCTCTTCTATCCGCCTCCCACTCTCTCCCTATTTATTTCAAAACCCCCTTCCCCTCCCCCTTTTCTGATGAAGGGTCTCGGCCCGAAACGTCAGCCTCTCTGCTCCTATGATGCTGCTTGGCCTGCTGTGTTCATCCAGCCCTGCACCTTGTTGTCTCGGATTCTCCAGCATCTGCAGTTCCTACTATCTCTGATACTCCCTGCAGATGTGTTTGTAAATGTTTGTAGGAATGTAGTCAGCTAAGTTACTATTGATGGATGTGATTCTAAATTAAAGTGATCTTACTCCCCAGGAGTCTTTAGACCACCACAGATATCTCAGATTAAAATAGACCTACGGGATATTATAGCAGAGACAACTCCCCTGTATTAACCAATCTCAGTGCATGGAATAGCCCTTTTAAGAAGTTTCCACATTTGTTTTTGTTTGTCGATCTGGATGTATGTCAGTCTACAACATTCCTATTGATTCATTGATAATAATTAATTATCAGAATCACTCCTTGGCTACATTATAGTAGCACTATAGAGTGTATAATGCTATATACACTATATATAGAGTGTATATAGATACTACGTATAGTGTCTATATATAGACACTATAGAGTGTAGAATAATTAAAACACTCAAATTGTGTAGAAATAAATATTGGAAAATATAAATGCACCGAGAAACAAATGTAATAGCAATTCTCTTTATAAGATTAATGAAGCATTTCAATCCAATTAAAAATGAGTTCAGGGTATATAAACAAATAATTACAGTAAGATTATAAACCCAATCCAAGTATAAAAATCATAGACAACACAGTGAGGAGCTGGAGGAGCACAGCAGGCCAGGCAGCATCAGAGGAGCAGGAAAGCTGACGTTTTGGGTCGGGACCCTTCTTCAGAAAATCATAGTTTTGTTTTGTATTGACTTACCTCAGCCTAAGGGGAATTCTCTTTAAGACAAACCAACTCTACATTTGTGCCAAAGAAGACTGGTCTGCACTTGATGTTTTCCAACAAAGCCAGCTTCAAGGAAAGTCTGTAACTCTGAATGAAAGCGCTTCCAATGCTCTCTGGTAGACAAACAGGGGGCTGGAAGAACACAGGAAGCCAGGCAGCATCTGGAGGAAAGGAGCAGTCAACATTTCAGGAATTACCCTTCTCCAGTCCTGAAGAAGGGTAATTACCTGAAGCATTGACTGCTCCTTTCCTCCAGATGCTGCCTGGCCTGCTGTGTTCTTCCAGTCTCCCGTTTGTCTACCTTGGATTCCAGCATCTGCAGTTTTTGTTTCTCTTCCAATGTTCTCTGTTCAGTTCAAAAATTCTTGTAGGATAAAACTGTTTGTATGCATTTGTGTTTGTATACATGTGTGTCTGTATGCATGTGTGTGTGCCTGTACCTTTGTGTGGATATCTACATGTGTCTGTCTGTGTGTCTGTATGTGTCTGTATCTGTGCCTATACGTGCCTGTGTATCCCTGTGCATTTGTGTGTGTGTGTGTGTGTGTGTGTATCTGTATGTCTATATGGGTGTCTGTATGTGTATGTATTTCTGATAATATGTGCACGTGTGTATATCTGTGCACATGCTTGTGAGCGTGTATGTGTGTGTGTGCGCACGCGCATGTATGCGTGCATGTCTGTATATGTATCCACGTGTGTGCGTGTGCATGTGCGTATGTGTATGTGTATGTGTGTGTCTTTTGCAGTCTCAAGACCTTACTTCACAGAAAACAATATCAAGGCTGGGTGCAATGTTGATTACCATTTTGCTTTTGGCAAAGATTCTAATTCTACATCAGCTGTTTTAAATTCTAACACTTCGATTCTTGTGTTAATTCAAACTTTACAAATTCTGCATCAATTGGGTTAATTCCTTAACACCATTGGGCCTTGATTGGTGTATTTAAAAAAGGACCCAGATGTCCCCGATAATCAGAAGCCAATGAGAAATGGTAAAGTAACTCAGCAAACGCATTTGAACTGCGATGAGATGATTTCTCCCCCAATTCCCGACATTGTTGTTTGCTGTGATTGGAGATCTTTGCTGTTCTCTTCAGACAGAAAACAAAAAGCTCAGTTCAGAACAAACTTAAATGGTAGCATGAGAGACAACATTTCCAGCAAATTCATGGAGAGAGATGCTGTGACTGTGACTTCAATGTGGGATTCAGCCAGGAAGCAGCTTGTGTCAAAACACTGCATTAATGGAAGCATGATACTGAGCTTCCAGTCGGTGACATGTAATTCTGTTGCTGGTATTGCACCTCCTGAACTCCTAGGATGGAGCAATCACCAAGGGCAAATTTTGCTGTTGCTATAGGGACAGGGAATCTCATGGAGATACAAACCTTGGGGAGAGGGATAATGGGGGTGGGAAGCAAGGCAGGGGCTGGTTGTTAGCAGACACCCCACTGCACAATGTCCAATTTCTCAATTATGTACAAATCAATATGGATGATAGGACCCCATTCCCCAACTGGAAGGCAGTTTGCACTGTCGGATGGATCAGCTGTTATTTATCCCACTTTTGAAGCCGATATAACTGCAGCCCAGGTGGGAAGGGATTTGTAAGTGATCCTTAAATTGCTGCGTTGACCACTTAAGGGTGTTAAATTGAGGCAGGGTAGGAAGGTTGCTGATGAACCATCCTGCCTGGAACTTATTTAGGCAGAGGTAGGACAATGTCTGAGTATCTTTCCTGAAAACTTCCTACCTCAATTACTAGACCTATCACTTCCTCTCTCATCCAACTGTAGGACCAGCCATTAATATCTTCACCACAGATACTGCCTGACATTCTGAATATTTCTGGCATTTTACACTCTTAAATTGCAGTCAATGCCCAGTGTTCAATAATCCTTTTCCTCTTAGCAAGAATGCACCCCAAAATTTGGTGCACTGTAATTGATAAATTTTCACATATTCAGCTCACATATTTGCTTGTGTCTTGTCGGAATTTATAAATTTTATCGAAGGGCCTAAATGATTTCCTCCTCATCTAAGGGCTTCACGAAACAAATCAGAGAAGAAACGAAGGGACCAGTTTAATGTACTCATCAAGGAACTTAGTACCATGCTGCAAGGCTCCACGCACAAGATGGACAAGTCGACTGTGCTGCAAAGAACAATCGATTTCTTACAAAAACAAAAAGGTAAGAGTGTAGATAATCTGACCAGGGTTTATAACCCAAAATAATACTTGGCCTTGTTTGACACTGGGGATTTTCTTCATTGGAATTCCAGTTCTATTGTGATTGTGATGATACTATGGCTTTAAGAGATGGGTTTTGTCCAGTTTTTATTTTGAAGAGAGGTTTTAAGACAAAGGCACTGAGCTGTCCATTTGAATCCGATAAAGTAAACAGCTTGCAAGGCCTTTATTTTAAGTTGGAACGATAAAAGCAGCCTGAACGGGTGGGGTCAAGCTCCTCCAGAGCAAGGATCCTTTCATTTTTGGTTTTCAGAAATAATTGTTGCTGGGGTGTTGAAGCTGGGGGGAAGCTGAAGTACATCTCTCCCTGCTACTCCCTCTCTTTCAGAGTTTTCTCTCGATGTTTTCTTCCTGGACTGGAGAATTGTCTATGAGACAATTTAGTTTTCTGAAATAACAAGGTGTAGAGCTGGATGAACACAGCAGGCCAAGCAGCATCAGAGGAGCAGGAAAGCTGACGTTTCGGGTCGAGACCCTGCTTCAGAAATGGGGAAGGGGAAGGGGATTCTGAAATAAATAGGGAGAGAGGGGGAGGCGGATAGAAGATGGATAAAGGAGAACATAGGTGGAGAGGAGACAGACAGGTCAAAGAGGCAGGGTTGGAGCCAGTAAAGGTGAATGTAGGTGGGGAGTTAGGGAGGGGATAGGTCGGTCCAGGGAGGACGGACAGGTCAAGGGGGCGGGATGAGGTTAGTAGGTAGGAGATGGATTTTCTGAACTTGCCTTTGTCAAGGGCCTGTTTATGGGATAAATTGGAACTGTTATAGTTTAGTAGTAAAATGATCTATTATTGGTTAAGTTTTCCAATAGAGTTAAGTTATTCTAACTTCTTCTTTCTTTTGTGTTTTGCTTCAAATCTGGTACTCCAACCAATCGAATTGCATCTGGAATGCAGTACCTGGCACCTGACTTTAAAATAAGGAAAAAATAAGGTCTAGACTATCTCCTTAATATATTTTGAGGAGGTTTGATCTGGCCTATAACATAATCAAAAGCCCAACAGTCAGACCTCAATGATATCTTACTCAATCTTTATGGTTATTTTAATTGTCCTATTCAAATATGTTGTATCATACCTCCAGTACAGGTGGGACTTGAACCTGGACTTTATGACCAAGAGGTAGGGATGTCTACCACTGAGTCACAACACTCTTAGCAGTCAATTGCACTGACTAACATATGCTCGCCCATGCTGCTAGTGACTCCCTGTTAGAACCAGTTCCCTACTTGTTGAAACATTTAGAGATTTCACAACAAACTGGAGAACAAAGAGTTGTTATAGCAAAGCAGCTTTTACCAAATCAGTCACCTACCAGCCTCTTATAAAGCAGCTGTCCAATTTTAGAGAGTTTGTAACACTTAATAATTCAATTCAACTCAATAATGATCTTTTCCTTTTCACCAGATTCACAGCATTTTCTGAAGCTCTCGCAGCAGCCCTGACCTATATGTGGATCAGCTTGAAGCATCTGCTTTGCTTGATCATGTAGCTCAGCCACTAAGTCTTGTTATCCAGGACTTAATATATTCCAGACTGGGATCGGTGGATTTTTGGCACCGAGGGAATAAAGGAATCTGAAGATCGGGCAGTGGAACTGATGTAAAAGATCAGTCATAATTCTACTTATTGGTGGAACATGCTTGAGAAGCCACATTCTATTCCTGCTCCTATTTTGTAATTTTCTGGTGAAATGATGTCAATTCTGAACCGGATACCTCACCTAACTGGAGTGGGCTCCTCTACACGAGTGACATCCCTTATCCTGTGCCTGTCCCAAAGAGTCATAGATTCAGACAGCACAAAAAAGTCCCTTCAGTCCATTGAGTCTGTGTCAGCCTATTGAATGGAAATCCTACTTTTCAGCATTTGTTCCACAGCCTTGAATGTTATGGCATTTCATTTGCTCATCCACATAACTTTTAAAGGTTGTGAGGTTTCCTGCCTCGACTACCCTCCCAAGCAGAACATTCCAAATTCCCACCATCCTCTGGGTAAAAACAAGGAACAAAAACAAAAGTTGCTGGAAAAGCTCAGCAGGTCTGGCAGCATCTGTGAAAGAAAAAACAGAGTTAACATTTCGGGTCCGGTGACCCTTCCTCAGAACCCTCTGGGTAAAAACATGTTTCCTAAAATCCCATCTAAACCTCCTGCCTTTCACCTTAGAATGATGCTCCTTTGTTTTTGACCTTTCTACAAAGGGCAACAGCTGCTTTCTATGCACCCTGTCCATGCCCCTCATAACCTTACACAACTTAATCAGGTCCCATTCTCCTTATCATTTTACTTTCACTACTCTTCAAACATTTATCCAATTTCTCCAAAAGTTGAACTTTTCTGGTTCAGTCATAAACTAGACTCCCTGGTCATCAGGCAGAATTCCAGCCAGACTCTTTCTCATCGCACCCAGATTAGTCTAGTTTGACTAGTCTCGTTAGCAACTCCTTTATCTGTCCAACTGTCTTTCTCTCTCTTTGGGCTCTATCCTATCATTTACTCCCTACCCCACCCACCTCCCTATTTTCTGCATATAAACTGACGTTTTCCCAGCCACAACCAGTTCTGAGGAAGGGTCACCAGACCCGAAACATTAACTCTGTTTTCTCCTCCACAGATGCTGCCAGACCTGCTGAGCTTTTCCAGCAACTTTGTTTTTGTTGTAGTCTAGTTTGACAATCATTGTCATGTTGGGCATGCAGTTAACTTTGGAAATGGAGTTTAAACCCACTCTCAGACCTGTTTACTCATTAAATGGATTATTATATCAGAAATGTTTTCCCTTTCAGAGCTCTCAGCCCAGACGGAGGCTTGTGAGATCAGGCAGGATTGGAAACCCTCTTTTCTTAGTAATGAAGAGTTCACACAGTTGATGTTGGAGGTAAATAAAATCTTTTCTGTACAACCCATTTAGCAGCCTCCACAGTGGAGACCATACACTTCACAGAGCTAGGAATTGGAAAGCAGCACTGATATAAAGAGAGGATCAATCAGAATTATTTTATTCATTCACAGGACATGGGCATCGCTAGAAGGACCAGCATTTATTATCCATCCTTAACTGCCCTGGGAAAGTAGTGGTGTGCTACCTTCCTGAGTATAACTGGGGCCATATCAGAAGGTAGTTAACACTGCTGGGTGAGGACAAGAGACTCAATGCCCCAAACAGCATTAGTGAGCCATTTGGGGTTTTTCACAACAAACTCACCATGATCATTATTAGACTTTTCATTTTGATTTTGCCAGGATAATTGAATTCCCAGAGTGAAAAACCAGCAATACTTAGTAATGAAAATATTAGTCCCCCATTTTGAAGTATACCAGTCAGACCAATATGTTTCATTCACCAGTTTTACTACGTTTTTTTTCCTTCTGTATTTGACACTACAGCAGTGGTCAGATTTGCACTCGGTGGATTTTCAGTTCAGGATTACTCCTGTAGTAAAATAACTGCTCACTCCCAATGGTATTGGCAAATGGAACATAGCTTTCATTCTTTATGTCTCATAGTAGGAAGAATTTGGTAAAACATATGGTCAGCCAGCAGGCTCCTTCTTTACCTGAATAAACTCAAACCACCTGGTAGAAAGTGCTGATTATCAACCCTTGATTGTAGTATTGGAGTGTTTCCACCCAATCAACTGCAAGAAAAAAGTCTAAAACTACAAAGGCAACTAGAGGTTGAACAATAAAGATAGGTCTTGGTAACAATTTAGAATGAGAATAACTTTTTTTTTAATAAATTAAGTGACTTGCCGTGGAGTAATATTATATCATTCACACCATATTATAACTGTATACAATAGTAAGATTTTTAGATGACATTGCAATAATGAGTAAGGCAGCACAGATTCCTGTAGCATTCTAATAATTAATAAATATTAAATGCTTCTCCATAGGCTTTACAGCACAATTATTACACTCTCATCGCATTCCAAAGTGCTATTGCATCAGTAAGTTACATTCCAAATGCAGTCACATGCATTATAATTAAGAAAAAAACGTTTAGTTGCAGGCTGTGCAAGTCAAGCATGGGGAAATTAGTGATTAAAGTTTTGGTGTAATTCAGATATGTTAATTGCCAAGCATCAGTTTGAGAAGATTGGACATTTTCCCCCAGCTACTGACCCAAGACAGTTGAGGTCACATAAAAGCACCAGCTGTAAAAGTCCTCTTACCTTTAAACTAGTTTTAGCTGGGAACATAGAGCGAGCATACCTGTGAAATAGTTCATTAATCATGGTGCAGTTTTGCTACTTCCAGAATTCCAGCATTGCCAGGCAGAAAATAGAAATAACTTTCCTCAGTAATTTTAGTAATGTTAATATGATTATGGATTGGTTCCTAAACAAAAGCCTTGAATTACATATTGTTAAATATGATAAACTAGGCAATGGTCCAGTGGTGTTGTCGCTGGACTGTTAATCCAAAGACCCAGTTAACCTTCTGGGGGCCTGGGTTCAAATCCTGCCATGGCAGATGGTGGAATTTGAATTCAACAAATATCTGGAATTAAGAGTCTAATCAGGATCATGATATCGATTGTTGGAAAAACCTATCTGGTTCACTCATGCCCTTTAGAGAAGGAAACTGCCATCCTTAACTGGTCTGGCCTACATGTGACTCCAGACCCACAGCAATGCGGTTGACTCTTAACTGCAGGATGGGCAATAAACGCTGCCTAGCCAGTGACGTCTTCATCCCGTGAATGAATAAAGAAAAAAAAAATTGTGGCTATCCAGAACAATTACATATCTCTGCTCTTGCCACCACTTCCTGCTGAAGTCCAGTGAGAACTGGCTCCACTGAGTTATATCTATTAGCAAAGTGGAACTCTGCACATGTGAGCAGCCGCACACGTGTGCATTTCAAAGTGAATACTTTTTAATGTGTCCGCAGTTAAATACAAGTGCATTTAAATCCAACACTGTTCTAAGATGAGATAGCAGGAACTGCAGATGCTGGAGAATCCGAGACAACAAGGTGCAGGGCTGGATGAACACAGCAGGCCAAGCAGCATCATAGGAGCAGAGAGCTGACGTTTCGGGCCTAGACCCTTCATCAGAAAAGGGGGAGGGGAAGGGGGTTGTGAAATAAATAGGGAGAGAGTGGGAGGCAGATAGAAGAGGGATAGAGGAGAGGATAGGTGGAGAGGAAACAAACAGGTCGAAGAGGCGGGGATGGAGCCAGGAAAGGTGAGTGTAGGTAGGGAGTTAGGAAGGGGATAGGTCAGTCCAGGGAGGACGGACAGGTCAAGGGGGCGGGATGAGGTTGGTCGGTAGGAGATGGAGGTGCGGCTTGAGGTGGGAGGAGGGGATAGGTGGGAGGAAGAACAGGTTAGGGAGGCAGGGACGAGCTGGACTGGTTTTGGGATGTGGTAGGGGGAGGGGAGATTTTGAAACTTGTGAAATCCACATTGATACCATTGGGCTGCAGGGTTCCCAAGCGGAATATGAGTTGCTGTTCCTGCAACCTTCGGGTGGCATCGTTGTGGCACTGCAGGACGCCCAGGATGGACATGTCGTCTGAGGAATGGGAGGGGGAGTTGAAATGGTTCGCGACTGGGAGGTGCAGTTGTTTATTGCGAACCGAGCGTAGGTGTTCTGCAAAGTGGTCCCCGAGTCTCCGCTTGGTTTCCCCGATGTAGAGGAAGCCACACCGGGTACAGCGGATGCAGTATAGCACATTGGCAGATGTGCAGGTGAACATCTGCTTGATGTGGAAAGTCTTCTTGGGGCCTGGGATGGGGGTGAGGGAGGAGGTATGGGGGCAGGTGTAGCACTTCCTGCGGTTGCAGGGAAAAGTGCCGAGTGTGGTGGAGCTGGAGGGGAGTGTGGAGCGGACAAGGGAGTCACGGAGAGAGTTGTCCCTCCGGAAAGCAGATAAAGGTGGGGAGGGAAAGATGTCTTTGGTGGTGGGGTCGGATTGCAGATGGCGGAAGTGTCGGAGGATGATGCGTTGGATCCGGAGGTTGGTGGGGTGGTACGTGAGGACGAGGGGGATTCTTTTTTGGTTTTTATTGCGTGGACGGGGTGTGAGGGATGAGGTGCGGGAGATGTGGGAGACACGGTTGAGGGCGTTCTCGACCACCGAGGAGGGGAAGTTACGGTCCTTGAAAAACGAGGACAACTGAGATGTACGGGAGTGGAATGCCTCATCCTGGGAGCAGATGCGGCGGAGGCGAAGGAATTGGGAATAGGGGATAGCATTTTTGCAGGAAGGTGGGTGGGAGGAGGAGTATATCACCTGCTTGACAAGTTTGAACTCTGGGTTTTGGAGCTTTAACAAAGGCTGGAGTCACTGTTGTGTTATCCATAAGGCAGAGGAAAATGTGCCTGGCACTTGTATGAAAGTGGTCAAATGGCAGATCAGAAGTGTACAGTGGGTAACTACAAGGCAGTCTAAGATAAAACAGGAAGTGGTGTTCTCGGAGATTATCATGGTTGCTAATCAGTATTCCATAGGGAGTGCATCCAAAGCCAAATCCAAGGTACTACAGGCGAACCAGCTGCACAGGGAAGGAGGAAGAAAAATGGAAGAACAATAGATATAGGAGATTCAACAGTGAGACAATCTGACAGGCATTTCTGTGGCAGTGAACATGACCCAGAATGGCATGTTGCCTCCCTGGTGACAGGTTGGAACAGAGCATCAGCAGAACATCTTTGGGATCAGCCAGAAGTCATGGTCCACATTTGTACCAACGACATGACTCACAGCAACTCTACATTGCTTCAAGGTACAAAAGCTTAAAAAAAAGGTCAGTCAATCATGGCTAAGAAAAGAAGTTCAGAATCGTATTGGATTAAAAGTAAAGGCCTATGAAATTGGCAGAAATAGATGTAATTGTGAGGATTGGGAGGTTTGTAGAATACAAGAAAGGAGGTCCAGGAGACTAATAAGGAAAGGGATAATAGAATATAAATGTAATCTGGCAAAAAATGAAGATAAAAACTGATTGTAAAAGCTTCTATAGATACCTAAACATTTAGTTAAAGCAAATCTGCATCAAAAGCAGGCCAAGTCAGGACAATTTATAAAGGGAAGTAGAAAAACAGCTTCACCTTATTATTAAGCTAAATTATTATATTTTGTCTGTTTGCATTATGGCAGATACCAGAAATCTCCCAGATCTAGAGATGCAAGTGGCTCGGGAGAATAAGGCGTTGAAAGAAATTGGCATTGGTAAGACAATGGTACTGGAGAAATTGATGGGGCAGAAAGTTGATAAATTCCCAGGAGATGATGGTCTACATCCCAGAGTGCTGAAGGAGGTGGCTGTAGAGATAATTGATGCATTGGTGAATATCTTCCAAAATTCTTTAGGTTCTGAAATAATTCTTGTGGATTGGAGGATAGCAAATGTCACCTCAGCATTTAAGAAGGGAGTCAGAGAGAAAACTGGGAACTATAGAGTTATTAGCCTTACATCAGTAGTGATGAAAATGCAAGAATCTATTATAAATATGGGATAAATAGCACATAGTTGGTAATGATCCAATAGGACACAGTCAGCATAGATTTGCAAATGGAAAATTGAGTTCGATGAACTTGTTGGAATTTTTTGAAGACTTTACTAACAAAATTGGTGGACAGTCAATGGACATGGTGTACTTAGAATTTTAGAAGATTTTGACGGTCAATGAATGGCCTAGCCAGGGATGGCCACATCCCATGAACAAATTCAAAAAATTGGAAGCCTTAGATTTAAAATTTATCATCTCAAAAACTGTAGAGTTTATTTCTACCTTGAAATAACTCCAAAGAGGCTGGTATCCCATAACTAAGTTGCCCTTTATTTACACGTGGAAAGTCCATGATACTGCTCCAGCTCCCTCAGAGCCAGCTCTCCAGAGTGATTAGCACCTCTGGTACTCCTGT